ATTACATTTCCTCTGCGCTTGGGATAATTAGATTCAAAGAGCTATTTATATGAACTCACTATTAGATTGAAATAATTACTGATCCAATCTGTTCGGAATTGAGTAGTTGATTGCTTGATTTGTAGTGAAGGTATGTCAAAGAGATGCTATAAAATCTGATGACTTTTACAACTCAAAACTATCCAATTGGCTGGACAATTTCCAGATCTTCTTTAACCTCTTCATCATTTTCTTGCAACTATTATGAATGTACTAATAATTGACATCATATATATTTGATAGAAACTAAGTGATCCAATTTATAAAAAATTAGATCTTTCACTGTTGTTTTTGTTTGTTGATTCGATTCTACCTTTCTGAATTCATCTTTTCCTGTTAAAATAAAACTCCTTTTTATCGACCACTCCTTTCTTGTTTTATATTTATACTTTTACCACAAATTTTCACGGCTACTTGTATTGTTTTCTGTTGTGTCTTGTAGTTAAATAAGTCCTTCCCTGTTGCCTCGAAAAGTATAGCAGTGGTAGCATATATGACACTCCAAAAGGGTGCTTTTACTAGCAAATCAGGCAAAGGAATTGGACTAAGCACGTGTTTTCTGTTGCAGTCATTTCCACTCTTCACCGTGCGTTCCTGTGCCATTTCTTTTCTGAAATCATGTGGAGAAGAGTCTCCTAAATATGACACTTCCACTTTTGCAAATGAGCTAAAGGACATTGAGCAACTTGTGCTTCTGATTATTTCTGTTTGCTCTTTTTCTACTCAGTTTAACATCTATTGCTGTCCTTTCTGTTGGCATAACTTCAATGTTTACAGATTGAAATGCTTGGTCAATATTAGAAGAATTTGTAGCAAACACTTTGTACTTTCTCCTATTGTGGCTGCGTTATTTTGGCAATTGTGAAATTTCAAGAGTTGAAGCTATTAAGGTAGATAAGGAATGTCGATTTAGATTATTTGAAGAATGCAAAGTTCAAGTTGAGCTTGTAGCTTGAGATAGGTTAAGGCTTCCATATGTTCTATAAAATGCTTAAAAAAAATCTGCTAATTTAACATTCAGTTATATTTAATATAGTCTTAAATGAGAATGTGATAGTAGTACTAACTACTAAATGTGATTTTTTGTTGCCAGCAGTAGTTGTATAATATTCTTTCCAGTCATAAGCAATTACATTTTTTTATGCTCATATTCAGTTCAAACTCATTTACCAGCGTGATCAATTCAGTTTTACTCAGTATCTAACTTACTACTTTCTTCATCCTTAGTTTTTCTATTTTTACATCTGCGCTACTTACGTTGTTTTCAAAATATAGTGTACACCTGGTTAGTCAATTTCTTCTTAGGCATTATGTTTTAACTACACATTAAAGTGATACTCTTCTAGATCTTAAGACATGCACATTCAGTGTTCCAGAGAGCTACTTTTAGGAGTTTTGTGCTTTAGATTCTGTTGATCATGTGTAAAAGTCTTATGTACTTGGGCTGTGTGAATCAGATGAGAGGATAAAGGCTACTTAGAGTGGTTCATTTGACTGTTGATTTCTATTTTATCTTTCTTAGTTTTTTCCATAACTAATATATAACATCTCTGATCTTTCACCTAAATGCAGCTGTTACAACTCTTACCAAAGAGGATATAACGAGGGATAAAGTATGTGTCTTTGTCAGCAAGGCATAATGGTGTCATCAACTTTTCCATGTTGGTTTGGTAGATCTTTCCAGCGGACTATATTTTCGATTCGCCATAGACTAATTGGCATGTGTATTGCTTGAAAAAAATATTTCTCTTTTTGGATCTATGGTGTTTTACATTATATCTAAGATCATGCAAAAGAGTTTTCTGACAAATTTTTATCCTTGCAAGGCAATTGGACTACAATATAGTCTCTTTGGTATTTATGAAATTATTTGACGCTTGACACGGGTTATTTTGCTAAAACTATTTGGAGGTATTATACTAGCCCTGCAGAACTCTTTTACATAACCTTTTGTCAATATGATTATTTTAGTGTTCAGCTATGTCTATAGTGCAAAATACTGTTGAGCTGATTATGAGACTTACAGCTAATGTGCTTCATGATCTACAAGTGTTCTCATCACAAATCGATTCCTAAATTATAGTTTATTTTATTATTTACTGAAGTCCTGTTGTTATATGGTTTCCGCATATTATGACATCTTGATCATTAACAATCTTTCTTATGTGTTGGATTCACTTGCACTTAATGTTAAGTCCTGCAAAATAGTTGTCTCTGATTTTTACATCAGATAGCCATATTATTCTTCTAATTTTATCATTCTATAGTTGGAACAATAGAAGTTACTTGACTAATTCTTGTTTTCCTAATATCTGGTAATAATTGTAAGGTTCATTTACCCACAGTAGATAGTTGGACTGCCTAATATCAGCGAAGCCCAGGAAGATCAACAAACCATTCTGCTCCTCATGCTAACATAAAAAGGAGAAATAATAGTTCAGTCCTTTTCACAAGTAGATATCTCTATCTACCTTTTTCCAGGTTTGCCTGATGGCATTACCAGAAAATTATATGTGAGCAACTTCACTTGATATGCAATTCATATTCCTTGGTATAAAATGTGTTTATGTAAGATGGTATTTTTTACTTTTGAGAAGAGACAAAAAAACCAGTAGTTGGAACAAGCTTTGGTTGGGCCCGGGCAAAGCCCGGGCTAACCTTACTAGTAAGATGATAGCCAAGGATAGCTTTGTTTTATCTCTTTATGTTGTTGGTATAAAACAATATTTTGCATTTAAATAAATCAATCTTTATCGTTTAAGGATAAAGAATTGACTAAATTTCTTGCTACATCTTCATTTCACTTACAAATTGCATGAGTATGGTTTAGTTTCTATTTTGTATCCAAGTTGTTTTAGTTTTGGTTATGATTTATACTCCAGATTGAAAATTTTATTAGCTTCGGAAATGGTTTGTATATTTTCCATATTGCATCAAGCTATAATTTTGCTTTATCAAAATAGTTCGCATGCTTACGTTATGTAGTAGAAGCTGAAATGAGATAATAGCCCGGCTCGGTTGTTCATCGGTTGATCAATTGGTATGACAATATTTTTGTGCTAAAGGATGTATACGATCTTTTTGGTATATATAATCTTTTTGGTATCAGTTCACAATATAATTTTCAGCCCATCAAATTTTAGCTAATAACTTCTTGGGGCATTTGCATCTATACTCGCTTTTTGTGCCACATTTTAATTTGTGCCCGCTTTGCAAAAAAAATTGCAAGCGTACCCGCTTTTTCACATAACTTCAGCACACGGGCTGAAGTAGCAAAGGCAATTACACAAAACTTCAGCATTTTAGTAGCCGGGCCTGAAGTTCAGCTCTAGAGCTGAAGTTTTATTTTATAAGTTTTTGTTTAGTAACCGGGAAACTTCAGCTCTAGAGCTGAAGTTTGCTAGTTATAAAATAAAAACTTCAGCTTTAGAGCTGAAGTTTTTGTTTAGTAACCCGGAAACTTCAGCTCTAGAGCTGAAGTTTTCAAGTTATAAAATAAAAACTTCAGCTCTAGAGCTGAAGTTTTCAAGTTATAAAATAAAAACTTCAGCTCTAGAGCTGAAGTTTGCCAGTTATAAAATAAAAACTTCAGCTCTAAGTAACCCGAAAATTTCAGCTCTAGAGCTGAAGTTTGCTAGTTATAAAATAAAAACTTCAGCTAGTAACCCGGAAACTTCAGCTCTTATAAAGGGAAGCTGAAGTTTTTTAAAAAGTGGGTACGGATGCAAACAAAAAGACAAAGCGGCTACAGGTTAAAAAGGGGCGCCCAAATAGGGCGCCCCGTGCAATTTTTACTAACTTCTTGTCTCATCAGTTTTATAATTTTTCCTCTTTAATATTATTTCTGTATTAAATTAGTATAAATCATATTAATTATTTGGAACTTATACTTTTTCTTTTAATTTTTATTTATAAATAAAACATATTTTTAATAATATTCAAAAAATATATAACTTATTGATATGGAATACACGCGCAATGCGCACGCCAAGAAACTAATTATATTAAAAGCACGAAACCCCTTAGCGAAATGTCGTTCGCCTATTTTACCTTTTAAAAATAGATTTCACATTAGATAAAATAGTCATTTATTTATTTTCATAATATTTACACATAATCATTTAATCATTTTTCTAATAGTTAAGATTTCAAAATCAACTAAATTTTATATTAAATTATTCCTTATTAAACGAAGAGTACGTAGTAGATTTTGTTTCTTTCATCAAGGGACTTCCACTATTGAAATTTCCTTTTGGACCTTTCTTTTTCTCCCTCAACTCTTTTCTTTTACGATGTATTTATATAAATTTATTTTCATTCGCTTGCTTTTTGTTTTAGTGTTTTTTTTATCTATAATCAAGATTGGTTGCATCTAATTCAGTTTCAAATGTCTTCGGTATCATTCTTCCTGCGTCCTATTTTAATCCTGCAAGAGAGGATGAAGTGCCAGACAACATTAGTTTTGAGGTAAAGAATCTATGTATGTTCTGCCAATAAAAGTTCAAATATATTTCATTATTTTAGATATAATATTTATTTTTTTCTTTCAAATATTAATTTTGTGCACTTTTTGACAATTGTTTCCAATATAAAGAGATTTTGTTATATATTTAAATTTCCTTTTACTTGAAAAGTATTTGTTAATTCCTAAAGTTTCGTAAAATTGGGAAATAATAGGAGAGTACTACTTTTCTAGATAAACGAAGGATGAAATTTTAGCAAACATGAGCAATCTTCCTAAAACTAATTGGCTGGATTTTCTAGAAAATGAAAGGGCATGGCAATTTAAACAGTTAAACAATTAGTTATATATGGTGTTTGGATTTCAAAATAATAATCATTAAATTTCTGAAATTTAAAAAATGATAATTCCTTCAACTAAAGCAAAGAATTTCCTCTTACCCAAAAATCATAAAAAAAATTACGGGTACAACATTCTCCTAATTGTCTCACACAAAATGGAAGTCTGAATCACCATTCTTTTCTCCAATTAAGCAACAAAGACAATCAGCAACTATGAGTTTCTGATTTCATGACAAAAAAATTAATTATACCAAAGAGATACAAAAGATTATTATACACTTAACTGAATAGGACTAACATTCGTTATTCTTAAGAATTTAAACTCTTTTCAAAAAAAAAAAAAGTTATTCATCAGTATAGGGTACATGCGCAACGCGCGTACCTTAAGACTAGTTATAAGAAATACGATAAACTAAACACCAATGCTGCTGCTTTCAAGATCTCTCTCTCTATCCCTATGGGTGAGCTCCCTGCATTTGATTGAAATATAAAGAATATAATCAGTGAAACTATTATAAACATTCAAGATGCCAAATAAGAGAGAAAAAGGGCTAGTCACATACTTCACAAAAAATAAAATAAAAAGAGCAAGTAAAAAAAAGGATTTTACTCAAATTTTCTAAAGATGCAGGAGTAGTTGTAATATATAGTGCACATACCAATGGTATGCCTTTGGTAGCCCTTTCTTCCAAGAATAGTGATGGCTTGAAAAAGTTACCATATGCTTCTGACCAACTTTTCAGACGTTTATATATGTATTCTGCTCCAATTGAATCTGCCCAATACATGATACCACCCCTGCAAACACAAATATATATAAGTTTGTGAATAGTTATCAGATACAGGAGTTGCGGGTCCTTGCAGTTGCATGCGTGTTAATTCACGCTCAAAACTCCTCCGACATGAATTCTACTTTTGATTCAAGCCCCAGAATAAGGAAGCACACGAAGTAATTAACTAATATGACCTTTTAATCATCCTTCAGGAGAATGCCAATCTTTCTACCAACATGCATCAACTTTTGATGGTAAAAATTACTTCAGGAGAGCAGCCCATTCGCTAGCCCACAGTTCGCATTGAGCTGGGTTGACCTAGTATTTCAAAAACAAGAATTTGCACCCTGTGTCCCTTTTAAGGGATGGTATTTAACTTTTGTCTCCATTTTTGAAAGCCTTATAGATATTAGACCAAGTGACATTACTTTGTCGGGGTGGGGCATAACTTGTTCAATGTTATACCCTCGTGCATGTTAAAAGTTATGCCCACTAGCATAACTTTGAACAAATTATGCCCGGGAACTTGAGTTATGCCCCGCCAACCTACACTTGTAAAACTTACTTAAACAGAGATAAAAGTTAAATAGCATCCTGAAATGATCCTATTTTTGCATATCTCCCTTCTGAAACCCCTTCAAATGATGGGTTTGGATGATAAAATCAATAGCCCTCGTGGGTTGGGCTGGATCAGCACATTTTGACGGTTCTAACAAAAGCCCGATCTCCAGTATGGTGTTGAGCAATCAAAGGCAGCACACAAATTTAATTTAGACTAGTAGCATCCTGAGAAATGACTTGATATAATTACCATCTAATCTCACAAATCGACCACAAAGAACGCCATGTCTTACTTTATAAGGTAGCAATTAGACAAGCTGGGTTGCTAGACCTGGTACGAGTAACTAACTAACGTTCTTCAAAAGAGTTGAAGAGGTAAGATGATAGTAGGATCTACTCTATCTACAGGAGACAGTAGGTTACTCTCTTCATGCTGAACCTCATCATTCAAAATGTTGGTGCATGAGTGTCAACTCACGCTTAAAACTCCTCCGACATGAGTCCTACTTTGAATCGTTCCGAGAATAAGGAAGGACTTGACGACAACACATTATGAAGAGCTAATACAATCATACCTCTCTGAAGGGAATTTCATCCCGTGGACCGAAGCAATATCAAGGTCTGATGCTCTCTGAACAACTCCTTCCTCAATAACTCGGTACCCCTCATTAACCACAGGAAAGAAGAGCATTTCCACTATTTCTTGGTCCATCACAGATATTGGCTGCCAAATTATAATACACCAAACATGTCGGCGTGCTCAGTGAAATAAGGCAAGCAAAATATTATACATATCATTAATTTCCCTGTCAGAATGCTTCATGAAATTCAAGAATGAATAACATATCAAAATTACAGAAAGTTCCACATAACGATATATGCCATGAGGTCACGAAGAAAAATTATTACAGGAACAAAAAAACATAAGAAACATTTTACCTCTCCCCCAGGTATAATGCTCACAAGTCTCCTGCACTCTTCAACTACTTTCAGCACGGACGGATTGGGTTCAGGACTCTTTCCCTTCTGGTATAAGTAGTAGCCTCTTCCGTCCTTCTTGCCTGCATTTTTAAAATTAGTTTTTCCAAATCAATAGCAAATAGGTAGGTCATAGGAATACATCCACAGAAAAAAAAAAAAAAAAAAAAGACTGCTAACAAAAAATTTTCCTCACAAAATGACTAAAATTTATTATCACGAGTAAAACTATAGCTATTTTGATTCTTGTTCATCTAAACTTGATGAATTCCTTGTTTGCATTGTTATGAAACAATAGAAATTCATATGCAATACATAATATATCCTCTATACCTGTATGGCCATTTTCCATCATAAGCTGAAGTAATGGAGACTGGAAACTGCGATCTGGAAATGCTACAGCAAACCCCTTGACTACTGCCAGAAATACATTATATCCAGACAAGTCCAAAAGCCTGCAGAATTACGACAAGCAATTATAATGTATCATATTTCAAATGCAAATATTCTGTAAAACCATCAGACGTGTCATTACTTCTTCATACATTCTTTAAGCAAACACTCATTTCACAGAATTCAAAGACTAATTTAACATCCCTAAAACTTTAAAGCCATTTACAAAAAGATAATTAGAGAGGTACGCCAATAATTTTTAAGCGAACACATAAGAACTAGAATCAGGAGAGAGGATATTACTGAAAAGGTCCAATTCGCATGCCAAATTCAGTGATTACTCGATCGACTCTGAAAACATCAACCCCAAGATTTGCCAACATGTCAGCTCCTTGCATGTATGGGAAAAATGTCCGGTTGACAGCAAAACCAGTGCAGTTTTTTACCACTATAGGAACCTTTTGGATGATCTTAGCAAATTTAAGAACGTCTAGTATTGCTTGTTTAGAGGTATTTTCCGTTTGTACAATTTCCAAGAGCGGCATCACATGAGCAGGGCTGCAGAAGTAGATAAGTCAGGAAATTCAGCATAAACATAAGGAATCAAATGTAAAAGACAATTTAGAAGCACAAACTATTTTCCTCTTCGACCATTCAACAAAACTGTGCAGTGAATAAAAGATATCTTTACAACATGCATGTGTTCCCTTATACTCCATTCAGAATTTCTGCTCAATAATAAGAAGTAGCCTTTTCCTGATACTCAGGATAGATAAGTAACTAAAAGACCTGAATAAATGTGTGCCCACAATGCGATCCTGAGCTTTCGTCCTTGCTCCAATCACATTAAGATCAATGGTTGATGTATTTGACGCCAAGATGCAGTGAGGCGGACAGATCTTCTCAATTTCTTCAAAAATTGATTGTTTCAACAACGTGTCCTCATTTACCGCCTGAGAGAGAATAGAAGAAAGATGAAATATTTCCACAATTATACTGATTTTACACCAGTATGTAGCATAGCAGATATTTCAAATTGAGTTAGAGAAAGCTAGATGCAGAATAAATACAGAAATGGTTACTCAAGGCATTTAGGACAAAGATGCGTGGATGTGAAGTTAAACGTATAGTATGGATCCGATGATTAACCTCGATGACCATGTCTACATCTCTGAATTCTTCATAGTCTACAACACCTTTGAGAAGGGAAAAAGCTTTCTTCATTTTCTCTTCTACCAAATGTCCTCCTTTTACCAGGCTTTGGAGATTCACTGGTACACAAATTATATGCATGAGCAATAGTCTAATGCTCTACAATGGAAGATGTGAAATATTTGATATTGTTTCTCCGTCTTTTCCTATTAGGTCACTAACATATTCCTTCTATCATATACAAAGGAGAAACAGAGAAGAGAGCAGTAAAAAATATATTAAAGCTTCTGCTCCAATACCTCTAAGATGCTTCAGGATAAATGAGCAAACAAAACAAATGGAAATGTATTCTCGACTTGACTAAGTCCTGATTGAAGTCTGAAGTTGGCGGTTGCTACTCCCCTATATCCAATCTAAGGCTTTCAAAATATTGATAATGTACAACGAGATTCACACTGCTTAAATCTTGAGAGCCTCAAATCTCTATTCTGATACTCTGAACAGTCATAGTCGGAGCTATAGACACTAGAGTAAATATTTATTCAGTTTCAGGTACCAATACACATTGTGTATTTGGTCTTTGTGCCTCATAAACCCTACTAATCTAGTTTTATTACCATGCAACTTACATATATATAATTTTGACCGTTCACCACTCAATCTTCATTCCCTCCTAGGATCGGACAAAGGAAAAATTCATGATATTGCCTTCTAGTTTTCCATCATGTCCCACCTTGTGAATGAACTTCTAACAATATGTACTGCTTAGTCTGTTCCCATTTTCTATACTTGCTTACATTTTTCACTTCAATTTGTTAACATAAAAGCTTTCACTTTTCCTATCGAAGTGTGTATATTTCTAAAATTTATATCTCTGGAGTGTGAAAAGAGACATTCACAAAGCGGGAAACTTACCTTCTACTGATTTAAGTGATTTTTGCAGACAGTCGTAGTCGATTTCTTTCAGAATGACTTGTACAGAACTGCGTATAAGAGCTGTGGCAATACCAGAGCCCATTAAACCACCACCTATAACAGCAACCTTCTCTATCTTCCGGTGTTTAAGCTGACAGTCAGTAATGCCTGGTACCTGTACACCATAGAAATTCCAGTTGCTTCAAAGAATGACCAAGTAACACAACGTGTGGTAGTAGTTCTTAAATGGGTGTGGCCTACCAACATTGAGATGCTAACGGCATTTGTGGGATGTATAATCAAGAGTTTCATGCAATATATAGTACTTTTTAGAAGACAAACAAGTGTACATATCTGTAAGAAGTTAGTCACTTTTGACAATGCATATACACTTAACCTCCAATGCAGCCTCTAAATACAATGAAATTATTAAAAAAGTTACCCTCTGTAGAAACTAATGGAATTAATTTAGCTACTAAATAAATTTCAATTTATGTCCTGTACATAGGACTTCCCTTTCTCTTAAATTCATAAATTGGGCTGTTGAGCAGGATAATTAGAGTTCTAAAGAGCATATTAGGTGCGTCAACTCTAACCATGAAATTGCAGTGCTTATAGATTGTACCTTTGATGTTGCTCGTTCAGCAAAATATACATGAAGCAGAGCTCTAGCAGATTTTGAGAGGATTAATTCTCTTAAAACCTTCTCCTCCTACAAATAGCAGCAACTCATTAAGTCGATAAGTGACAAAATAAACCAGAGAATCTCACAATAAATGTTCGAAAGACAATCAAACTAAATACAAAAAAATAGTAGAGATAGAAAATACAAGGAGCTCATCTAGCAAATACAAAAACCTGCACTTGCATATTTTCACTAAAAATTTTTGCATGAGAATTACAGAAATTTATGGTGTGCTTTATATAAGCTTCACCTTCAAAACTCCAGCATAACCTCCAGAAATGATGCCCTCTTCAATCACATCGAGGCAGGCTTTATAATGAGGCATACTTGGAGATGTCTTCAAAACCTTTTGCCTAGCAGTTTCCAGGATAGCAGATGACTCGCGTATAGGTTCAATTTTATCTGTCCTTTGAAGTGTATTAATACGGGCTTGCCGTCCTTCTGCAATATCTAATGCCCAGAGACGAGAAACTGTTAAGAGGTCTTCGGAAGATACCACATCATTGATAAGTCCCAACTCCTTCCCTTCTTCAGAAGTAATGATCTTGGATGACTGTCACATGGTAATAACCAGTGTTTTACAAAAAGATAGGTGGAAAGGGAAAAGGAAAAGACCCAAGCTTTGCACGTTTAGACAATCTGTTAACTCCACCAAACAAGTAAATCAGTTCAAACATCAAATAAATGTTACAAGAAAAAGCTTTGTAAGAATAGAGTATCTCTTTTACCAATTTTATTAGAACTAAATCAGCATAAATCCATTGAAATTGTATTTATTATTCGGTCATTTAACACAGAATGTGATCCTTAAATTGAAGAGATTCTCATCTAATAGAGTGCAGTCCGAGGAACCTCGCTGCATTGGACTAATCAATTGATCAACAGAAACCATCTCCCCATGGAAATGTATACGATATGACGACATACCTTTAAGCAAGAGGGAAAAACACTAATTGATAGAAAACATAAAATCATTAGAATCTGACTTACCATCAACATATCAACGGCCTTTGATGTCCCAACGAGCCTTGGAAGACGCTGAGTGCCTTTCAAGCATATGTGTGACTTTATTAGGAAAATCAATGCATAACGGAAGCAACAGCAAGCACTCAATTATCCAACAACAACTTGAAGAAGCAAGGCATCATTACCGCCACAACCAGGAATAATTCCAAGTTTCAGTTCAGGTAGGCCAAGCTCAGCCCTCGACGTTGCAATTCTAGCACTGCACCCCTAGAAAAGATCAATGATATAAGCGTATCAGCCTAAAAACTGAATGCTACTAAAGTGTAAAACCATTTAGTCGAATAATACAATTTGCAAAAAATAACAAACCATGGCCAATTCCAAGCCACCACCAAGGGCAAATCCTTGAATGGCAGCAACAGAAGGCTTCTTGCCATCTACAATAACCAACATCAGGAAAAATAAGTTATTGCAGAATATATCTATGTCAGTATGGAAAAAACAGGCAAATATCTAAGAGGATGCTAGTGATTATGATGTATCAATACTTTCAATTGTGTCAATCACAAGATCAACTGATGCATCCGGTAGAAGTGAGATATCCCCTGACATATCAAGCAACAAGCTGGTCATTTTACATTTAGAGCCTTATCATAAATTAGTAGAGGAAAGTCTGAGTTACGACGATACCGTTCTTTTGAACATTCTGAACTATGTTGATGTCAAGACCACCACAAAATTTACCATCCCCTACAATGTTGGAAGACAAATTTAAGTTTCCAAGAGAGTTAGTTGTAAAGCATAAAATCTACTAATACTGCTGAAATAGTGTATGTCATTTCAAATTGTGTGCTTTCCCAAATTAAAGATCTTGTTTTCAGAATGTACATAGTATAAAACAGTATTATCAATTTGGTCCAATGCATTAAAAAACAACAGAAGACGTCCAAAAGCTTTACCTTCAAACTTGGAAAATTGCTCCTCTTCACGAGTCAGATACCTATTTTTTAAGTGAATAGAATCTTCATAATTTGAAACTGACCCTCACAACAACATGAATGATCTCTTTTTCCTTCTTTTACTACAAGCATTATCTCTTTATTTCACCTCTTCCTTCGTTGTTATCGAGGTAGAACCAAAAACACCATCATAGTCATTTAAGTAATAATATTGAATTTGTCTGAATCTTTTGAATTAGCAAATTATGATTCTCGAGAAAACAAAGTAATTACTGGTGATTCACTACTACTAAAGGATGATAAGTTACAGAAAATTTTCACCACCTTATGCTAGCTGCACAACATTTTATCCAATTCCCATAATTGTCAAAAGTTTCAAGAATATTTTCATTATCCGCTCTTAATCTTTTACAAGAGTGTAACCAGGGGCTGAGGCGAAATTGGCCGAACCCAATAACTTTTGCTCAATGAATGAGTAGCAAAACATGATCTGCGGTTGAAGGTAAAATCTTTCAATAGATTTGAGTTCAATGGAGGAGTTCGAAAGACAAGTCAATGTTGCATAGAAGCGGGGACGAGGAAGAAAAAGTAGTTTATAGGAGGAAAAACTAATTAGATTCTCATTCATATATTCTTGCAATTACACATTCGGTGTAAAAGGGCACCCTATCTACTTTTGGGTCCAAGTGGTGTGATATAGACCACCTGACCTAAGCTTCCACGGCTCGGACCTAAAATAATTTTATCCCTGCTCCAAAACTCCATTTTCAATGAGTGTGTTTGGTTGAATTTGATCCGGTTAAAATGGACTGAATAAATAAAAGTATTTAGGCTTTGATCAAGATGCACATGTGTATAAAGTTCCAGCATATTATGCTGAAACTCCAACATACGGAAAGTTCCAGCATAATATACTGGAGATTGGAGCACTTGCGTATGAACTTCCAGCATATTATGCTGCACTAGTATATTACGGTGAAACTCCAGTATATTATGTTAGAACTCCAATATATTATGTTGGAACTCAGTATATTATGCTGGAAATTCAGTATATTATGCTGGAACCCCGAGTATATTTGCTAGAATATTTTTCGAATTGTAAACAGTATTTTCGTTCAGATTTATCTTTACATAAAATGTGGCTAAATTTCAATTACTTTTGAAACTGCGGCTATTTTTCAATTACCACTTGTAAATCTAGCTATTTTTGAATTTCACCCCAAAACAATAGGTCATACCCTAACTTCTTTCTTTGAACTAAGTTCAATTCTTTTAAGTTATTTTCTTATAATTTATTTGATTACATACCAAACAAAACTAATACGATTTTTTTAGTATGATTTTATCTACCATATATATCAAAAAGAATTTTGACATTGTTTTCTTGTGAAAGATTTATAATAGCCTATTTTCGTACCAGTGTTTAAGTTTTGACCTTATTCAAATAAATTATGCAAAATAGCTTTTTAATCAAATGTAAAAACTGCGTGACGCAGTCACTTTTTAAAGTGGTATTTACTTTTTATCCAGCAATTTTAATGCTGAGCAAAAGTAGCCACTAGTCTATTAAAAATAATATGAAAAGACGGTGTTACCCTTCTTCTTTCTCTTTTTCTTCCCAAACCCTAGCTGATCTGTTCCGCCAAGAATATTTTCCATTGCCACTTGTTCTTCTTTTTCAATGCTTCTTCTAATCCTCAAATCTTTAGGCAATTAGCAGGTCGATCAAATGTATTGCCAACTGTTTGACAAAATAAGTCTTGACATCCTTATGTGGAACGAAGAAGAACTCTTCAAGATTTTAGCAGGAAACTAGAACATAAAACTTTAGAAAACAAACTTTCTGAGTTTTATTTATTTTTCTTTTTCTTTTGGTTGGTTAGGTTCTGTAGTCTTTTATTTTTTTAGTTGTTTCTTTTTGTTATTAGCTTTCTGTTGTGTAATTTGACATCAATCTTATATGTAAATTGCAATTATTATTATTTTTATTTTTTTTTGAAAAAATACAAATAACGTTTGATTTTCTACTACGTTATGGATCCTGAACTTACAGTTACAAGTTCAAAAGTTAAGGACACTTGGTCCTGAACTTCGAGTTCCAAGTTCAAAAGTTAAGGACACTTGGTCCTGAACTTAGAATTACAAGTTCAAAAGTTAAGGACACTTGGTCCTGAACTTAGACTAACAAGCTCAAAAAATTAAGGACAATAGGTCCTGAACTTACAGTTACAAGTTCAAAAGTTAAGGACAATAGGTCCTGAAGTCCTGAACTTAGACTAACAAGCTCAAAAGTTAGACAATAAGTCCTGAACTTAGACTAACAAGCTCAAAAGTTAAGGAAGTCCTGAACTTAGGCTAAGAAGCCCAAAAAATAAGGACAATAGGTCCTGAACTTACAGTTACAAGTCCTGAACTTAGACTAACAAGCTCAAAAGTTAAGGACAATAGGTCCTGCACTTATAGCCCGTTTGGCCAAGCTGCAAAAATTAGCTTATTTTGAGAAGTGCTTTTTTTCAGAAGTGCTTTTCTCAAAAGTACTTTTGGTGAGAAGCAGTTTGTGTTTGGCTAATTAGTTTGAAAAGCACTTCTGAGCAGCAATTAGTGTTTGGCCAAGCTTTAAAAAACTGCTTCTAAGTGTATTTTTCTCAAAAGTGCTTTTGGAGAGAAGTTACTTTTTTCTGCTTCTCCAAAACTGCTTCTGCTTCTCCTCAAAAGAACTTTTTTTCCTTCCAAAAGCTTGGCCAAACACCTCAATTTTTGGCCAAAAGTGCTTTTGGCAAAAAAAAAAAACCCTTTTGGCCAAAAAGAAGCTTGGCCAAACAGGCTATTAGGCTAAGAAGCCCAAAAGTTAAGGACAATAGGTCCTGAACTTATACTAACAAGCTCAAAAGTTAAGGACACTTGGTCCTGAACTTACATTTACAAGTTCAAAAGTTAAGGACGTGTAGTCCTAAAGTCCTGAAGTTAAGTTCAAAAGTTAAGGACATGTAGTCTTGAAGTCCTGAACTTAGAGTTCCAAGTTCAAAAGTTAAGGAGATGTAGTCCTGAAGTCCTGAACTTAGAGTTACAAGTTCAAAAGCTAAGGACATGTAGTCCTGAAGTCCTGAAGTTAAGTTCAAAAGTTAAGGACATGAGCAGAAGGGTATTTTCGTCCGGGCAGCTAAAGTTTATTAAAGCAGTGGCTAAAGACTAAAGACATTTTAAACAGTGGCTTAAAAGTAAATACATGTGTTATTAGTGGCTAACCGTGCACTTCTCCCAAAGTTGATCACAAGAAGATTTACCCTGCCATAACTCATGGCATATTACCGTTAAAATATCATGGTATAGCCAGTTTTCACACTGGTCAATGAAAAATAGCTAGCGTTTATCAACTCAATGAAAAATAGCCACTATTTTGCTGCAACAGGGACCGGTCCAGTATAATATACGGGAGTTCTGGTGCATTTGTGTACGAACTCCAGCATATTATGCTGGACCGGTATACTTTGCTAACTCCTGTAAAATTTGCGGGAGACTGGAGCACCAGTGCTCCAAACTCCAGTATATTATACTGGACAATTATACTTGCTGGAACTCCTGTAAAATTTGATAGAGTTCCAGCATAATTATGCTTGAACTCTCGTAAAATTTGCGGGAGTTCCAGCATAGTTATCCTGGAACTCCCGTAAAATTTACGGGAGTTCAAGCATACTTATGCTGGAACTCCCGTAAAATTTGCGGGCGTATTTTTCCGGATTTTGAACAGTGTTTTCGCTCAGATTTAAAGTGGCTAAATTTCGATGACTTTTGAAACTTGGCTATTTTTCAACGACCAGTGGTAAATCTGGCTATTTTTGAATTTCTCCCCATATTACCGGGAGTTTAGGTTACAATGTCCTGGCATATCATCGGGAGTTTTTTATGGTTGGGATTGCCAAGTCCGAGCGATTACTACTACTAGGAGTTAAGTACAAATTGTACGGTAACTCTGATACAGATTATTTATAAATTCTGGTGGATTACTAGGAGTACTTTATAATGAATGGGCTTTCATAAGTCTTGGCAAATCACCAAAAGCTTGGTACAAATTGTCGTATTAACTATGAAACATATTTGTTCCCAAATTCTGGTGCGGATCATTGGGAATTTATTAGAAATTTCACCAATTCGTTGATATTTCAAAGTTGATCCAAATTTGTTCAAATCAAATGCAAATAACTCTAGATTTGATATTCGACATTCTAATATTAATCCCTATAATTTTTAATGGTTAGATTCAAACTACACTTTCAAAAATTAACAGGCTCATTTTATCTTTTTCAAATGATCAAGCTCATCAAAATCTAAGAGTCAATTATTCAAATGGTCACTCAACTATCCCAAATTATCTTCTAAAGTCAGTTTTCTTTCGTTTGTAACAACAAAGTTACTGAACTATGCTTATTGCACTCATAAGGTCACTCAATTAGATTTTCTAAATTTTGGATTTCCAAATACCTATTTTACCCTCTAAATTATAAGTATTTATCTTCTTTTTATTTTTTAAACTTTTAATATTATAATTTTTCCTTTTTAATTTATATTATGGACTTACCTATAGAATAAATAAATATTATTTATAAATTAAAAAAATAATAAGTATTTAAGCATATATAATGCTGGAATAACAAAATAATGAGCACAGTAAAAAAAATTAATTAGAACAATTTGTTCGTAATAATAATTTTAGTATTAACAACAAAAATTTAAAAATTTATTTACACAATTCAGAATGAAAGAAAATAAAGGTTGTAAAATATATATGCCATG